TTTATCCTGATACAGATCACAAGTTAATACTATTAAGGGATGGAGGAGGAAGGAATAAAGAAAGAACATAACTGAAAGAACAAAAGAATGTGGGGCTCTGTTAAGGAGAACAGGAAAGTGAATGATACCTGCTTTTTAAATTTATTTTACTCCATGTTTCTTCTCTTCATCCATCTGAATCCTAAAACTCTGACTCCTCTGATTCCTCCACACCCACACTGAAGAATAACATCACTCTCCCCCTTTCTCTCTCTCTCTCTCTGTTCATTACCATAAATGTTCTCCATCCGACTTTCCCATTTGGATCAATAGGATGTCACAGCTCTGATGTCTAATGATGGTTATAGCATCATCACAGTCATGTGTTTATCTCACCTCAACTCTGACGTCAAATAAAAATCACCAGTAGTAGCAGAGACTGTTTGTATTTACTGAATCTACTAATTACTACGTACATATATTGTACTCTGGGGTAAACCTGAGTATCCCGTAAGAGTATTTTTTCCAGATATGACTATTGCTTGAATACTAAAGACTGAAACTACGTAGTGTAAAACATGATAAATTAACTTTATTACCATTAGTAGTTACACATTTTATGCAATTTGTCTGTTTAGAAACCTGCACCCTTAGATGCTGCTGAGCACTAGGCTACAGGATGGCGACTTCACGGTTTCCTCGCCTTCACTCTTGAATCTTTAATAAAACTGTTAAGGATCATACTGTTGGTGGTGGTGTTTGGCATTATTTATTCCATTTACCACACTTCAGTTAAAATGCCTAGCTGCTGCCTGTGCAGTTAGCATTTGCTGCTGTGCTGAGGTGAGTTCATATGCTACCAATCGCAGAGCTTCTACCCTTTGTGGCGTCCACAGTTTTGACAGAACACTTAAAAATGTGACTGAGTTGCTGACAAGCTAACTGGTTACTGGCTACTAGCCAAGACTAGTGGGGCATCATGACCTTAATTTATGAAATGCTAACACTGAAGATTCTTGAGATCCAAAATGTTTGTGCGGTTTGTCGGGACATTTAATATGCTACATTTTATAGCTGAACTTGATCTACATGTACATTTTAAGAGAGACCTATGAACATGGGAGCATGGACACAGAGTATAAGTAAAATGTTTTATGCTTTTATTTAAGTTTTAATACGTTGCTGCAATGAACTGTGTGTCCCTTCAAATGAAAAGTTCGGACTGCTTTGTCATGTCCAACAATATTTACTGCTTCCTTGTGTATGAACACTCCAGCCTGAGGTGCTGCAAGGTGCTGCAAGATAAATCTGTGTGAGGGTGTTTTGCATTTTGCTGCATCATGCCCTATACGAAATCACTCAGAGACCAGTGTAGGCAGCTCTGCAACCGTCATGCCTCCGAGCCATAATCTGCCCCAGTGCGGAGTGGGATTTATTGGATCACACTCAGTCACTTGAAGAGGCAGCGAGCGGCTGATTGTACTGTGTGATTTCATAACAAATCAGCCTCATCTTCACTGCTGTCAGACTTCATCATTGTTCTCTCCCCGTTACGTCATTTGCAAGCTTGAGGACAGCTTTTTTTCCTCACAATATCAGCTGTACCTGAACGTCCCATGACTCAGGGCTTGAACGAGTTTTTTAATGCACTTTGATGCCTCAAGATGCTTGAGAGGAACCTAGATCTGAAAGTCTGAGTCAGACACTATATACCTCTGTGGACATCTCACTTTTTGGCTACACATATGAGAAGTTATAAGATAAACCAATAGTACTATTGAATCTGTCTCCATGAGTCATCACTGCGTTTCCCTAGCCTTCATTTCTACAGGTCTATCGGGAGCCTCTTTTCTTTTGCTCTCTGTGATTGCAGTGGAAAGGAGGCGATGCTCTGTCCCCAACAGTGGTGCGAGCTTAGCAAAGCTTTAAGCACTCAGAGCACCCAGCGAGGTTAAAACCATTTCAACTGATAGCAAGAGTGTTGTCCTTCAAACGTTTAGCTTTCCATAGTTGCATAGCAACAGCAATCGCCATGACCAGCACTTCCCAGAGACAGCGATTCAGTGTTACCAGTTGCAAATGAACTGCCTGGTAGGCGCATGGGACAGCTGCAACCCTGCATCCTGTTGCCTAGGGCACCACACAGCCCTGTGCACAAAGGCGACCGCCACACACGGCAGCGAGGCTCCCTCGTTCTCAACACGTCCTGAAAGGATGCTCCTAAGATAGTGTTGCCAGGCAACAAACCCAATTCCAGCCAGCGAACAGAGTTCTGACTGAAAATTTATTCAGAGCAACAAAATATGAGCAAAAAAAAAAAACAAGAGAGGAAGAGCTACCTGGTAAGTGGTTACTATAATGATTTATTATGATTAATGCAGCTAAAAACTGAACGCTGGGGTAGGCAACGTTGGAGAAACTAGTCAGAGACAACTACATTTACAGTCCTGCAACAGCTCAGATCCAGAACCAGATTCTTGGTTGGTGTTAGGATGTAAAGAGAATTTCAACCAAAAACTGCTTCTGAAATGAATTGCCTAACCCAGTTTTAACTTTTACAAAAAGCACAGCCTGTTTTCTTTATGGTCTCTGCAGGAGCAACCAATCCTATTGCCTAGCAGACATATCTATTACATAACGGTCCTTCAGTCTTTGCTCCACCAATTATCAGTGTTCGAGATGCTGTAGTTGTTTAGTTACTTCGGTCTCTGGAGTCTCACACACTCCTTCTCTCCTGCAATATGTAAATTCCCACTACAACCTTCCACTCTGTAGCCCTTTTAGCCAATACAAGGATGAATATTTATCAACCCAGTACACCCACCAATCACAGTATCTCAGTACAGAAAGAATGCACAGGGGCATCAGCTGCCCCCCTCCCTTTCGGAGCCAAGAAACTTGACTTTGACAAGTCACCTCTCCTATGTCTGAGTCCAAAACACTTTACAATAAAATCACATTCGGCAAAACAGCTTTGCCTTAATATCTGTTGCTTGCATATTTTGCCAACAAAGAATCAAGCAAAAAGCTGTTTCCCGGTCAAAAAAAAAAAAAGCATTTGGGCACATATTTCTATGATTGCACAAAACCTGCGTGAAAGAAGCTGCAAGGTTAGTAGCGATCAAAGTCAAAGATCAACACGAGTTTTGGCAAAACAGACAGTGGGATGACACACTGCCAAGAAAGAGTCTGGAAATTACGTGAAAGGATGCCATATTGTTACAAATGCTGTGCAGGAGTTCAATAATAGTCACAATCAGGGCCTGACATTACCTATTTTGCTTACCAGCCACTGTGGCAAATGGTTTTTCATAGTTACTACTATCTATCAGATCTGGCTGTTTCATGAGCCTCATGTTTTACCTAAGCTTCATGTTTTAATGCCACTCTCCGTCATCTGTGATGTGAAAACATCAGATTTCCGCTCAATCAGAGAAAGTAGAAGTGTGCCTCTTACTTCACTTTTAAAATCCCAGCACACCACGTAGCGTCTGTCCTGCCGGGCTGCTGGCAGCGATGACAGTCTGACCGATGACTGACAGTCATCACCGAAGCAGAGTTTCAGTGCTGCCCTGCTCCGCTGCCTTCCGTCAAGCTGCCCTGTATTTCTGTCAACCTTTTCCACTTCCATCAAAGTTGGTTTGGTGCTTTGTGATCATTTTAGGACTCAGTTTGTACGGCCAAGCTGTGGCATAGCTCTGTGTACACTGACGCAGCTTCAAAAACAAAAGTGCCTTGATTTGACTGGCAAAATGCTTCACTGGCTAGTAAGAGTAACTGTGTTGCTGCCAAATTTTAGCCAAATTCTATCCAAGTGTGGTAGGTGGACGGGGGCTAATTAGGGCTGCAGCTAATAATATTTTAGTATTCAAAGCTTCGATAGATTATTTCAACGATTCATCGATTGCGTCGTTTAAGAAGTACATTTGCTTGGCGGCGGCAGCACCCCCACCGTAACGGGATCAGCTGTGCACGTTTACAGGTGATAGATATTTATTAGTCCTTTCGGCAATTCATACAGCAAACATCAGACCAACAACCGGACAGCTGCTTTACCAACACAAACATCACCCGAGTACAAGTCATATGACGGGAGTCTTGAAGCCGTTGCGGCGTTCACACTACGTGACTGATCGGTGACAGGGACACACACTACAAGAGCTGACAGCGGCCGTGCCACCCGACGCTGGTCTCCAAACCACGTTTTGAGAAAACACGTGAAATGTGAAACGGGAAATGAGCGATCCTGAACACGAAACAATCAATCATGATTTCAGCTAAATGCTAAAGTTGCTGTTACTGTTATCTTGTCTGTGGTCCGCTGGCAGAACACCGGCTGCTTTTTGTTCAGGCGCCGTCGTGCTGTTGCCGAGGCGACATAAGTTTCGTTTTACGGTGAACGGACGGTAACATTACAGAGTTGTGTTGTTTTCTTTAGCTTGAAATAATCCCAGACTTTGGACACTTTCTTCTTTGTCCCTCGCTATTTTCTCTCTCTTCCCCCACTTTGCAAACAGCTCCATTATAATCATAGTTATATGGATTAAACAAAGCCTCGATGCAAAGAATTTGTGTCGAAGCATTTTATTAATCGATTTAATCGATGAATCGTTTCAGCCCTAGTGCTAATGTCAGGCCCTGGTAACAATCAAGGTTAGGAAACCTAATCTCTAAAGAAGCATTTAAAAGTACCAACTGAGTAATTTCATTGCTGTGAAACAGTGCATCTGAGGGAGATGAAAAGCCCTTTAATACCTCCTCAGTATAATTGAGTATATTCAATATGGCATCCTAAGTCATTTTATCTTAAATACATAAATCTAACTTCATGCCAAGATTTACAAGCCAATATCACTATTTCACATTTCTGAAGTAGAAACTCTAAATCCTAGTTGGTTTCCAGCCAGCATTTAGAAGGTAGACTTTGTTCATTTCAACCCACTGCTGAGATCAGGTTTGCCTTATTCTCGTGCTACCTTTGGCTTTGGTTGTAGAAAGTATATCTTAAACTCTTAACTTACGATTTGTGGTGGTGGAGGGTGTGGGCGTGGTGGTTGTTGGAGGCGTTGGCTCTGTGGAGGCGCTCAAGCCTCTCCTTCTCTTTCTCCACAAAGTTGGTGTTGGTGCCAGTGCTGGTAGAGGGCACTCGAGTTAGCCGGCTGTGGGCCCGTGGCTGATCCCTGGGTGGGATCGGAGGAGGGGGAGGTGGAGCCGGGGCTGAAGAGGAGACTGGAGCTGGGATTTGGGTTGGGATTGAGATGGAGGGTGGGGCTGAAGCCGGAGCAGGAGCCGGAACCGGGATCGCAGTCATCGTGGTGCTGTTGGTGCTGTTGTAGGAGTGGTGGGTGGAGGAGTGGTGGTGCTGCTGATGATGCTGGTGGTGGTGGTGGCTGTGGTGGAGAGGGATGGAGGAGGGAGGCTGGGGAGGAGCTGGGTGTTGGCTGTTGTGGTGGTAATGATGGTGATTCTTGGTTGAAATGGGGGTCGATGTGGTCTGAGCTGGTGGAGGCGGCGGAGGAGGAGGAGGGAGAGGAGGCTCGGGGGGAGGAGCAGGTGGAGGAGGAGCAACAGGTTGCCGGTCCAAACGCAGGTCCTTGTTCTCTTGGCTGAGCCGGTCCAGTTGGACTTCCAGCTCCTCGATTCGGCGCCGCTGGGTTTCTAGAAGCTTCTGCTGGCTCTCGATAATGTTGTTGAGTTCAAGAAGGTACTCCACGGCCCGGTTAGGGCTTTCTGGGCTGCCCTGGCCTGGGCCTTGATTAGCATCCATGGTCTGTTAGTCTGCACACAGGCTAATGGCTAGAGAACCTCAGGCTAAACAACAGCCGGGGAAATGCCCAAAGAGTAGGGTTCCCTACTGCTAAATTCTATAGTAAAGACCTAAATGCTGTTGGTTGTTGTCTGTCTAACTGTTAGTTAGATCGAGGTTGTACGCTGTCAGCTAGCACTGAGGCTAAATGCTAGACTTATGCACTAGAGGAAATGCAGCCCGAGTCACAGCTACAGCTGGTGCAGAGCAAAAGGTTACTCACTGAGTGTTAGATGCCGCAGGGGCTAGTATAGTAGTGACACCAGCCAAAACTAGCACAACTGACTAAACACTGAGAAGAAGTTGGACCCAATTATGACTAATCTAAAACTGTTATCAGGACCCAGAGCAGAGCTGTCCTACTCTGTACTCTACAGTCTAGTCTACAACCTTAAACCTAATGTCTAAATTATGACAAAATTACACCCTATGGCCCTAGGCCCTACACCCTAAAAACTAAACTACCCTTCACCCTCCCCCCCACCAGAGGTAAGTGGGGGGGAGAGGACTCTTTCTTCTTCGAGTTCTGATTTAAAGATCAAGTTGGACCTCGTCCTCCCTGGCTCCAATCAGAAGGTTTTATGGAGTCGTCGACCATCCCCTGGTTCAGTCAGGTGTTTCTTTTGGGGTTCAGACCCATGACGGTTAAAAACAGAACAAATATAGAGAAAGAGATAGTCTTCTCCCCCACAAAAAACTGTTGTCCCTCCCTTTGTCAGTGAGTCAGTTTTATCCACTCTTTGCACTCCATGCAGCAGATCAGAACATAGGTTTCCAAGAAGCAGGTGCGGAGACCATAGCTGATAGAGGTCCCTCTGTGTCAAAGATGTTGCACATTATCATTGTTGAGCAACTGCAGATTGTCCAGCACAAATGGAAGAAGTGTTAAAATTTTCATTGCCAGGTGCTGCAGCAGAAATGCAGTCTGCATGTACAAACTCCCAAACTAATTGACTAAGCACCAGTTTCCCTTTTGTGCCTCATAATAAAATCCTGGGGTCAGAACCCCTGTGGTAATTCCCCAAGTATTCAGAGTATTCAGTTCAGACCCTCTCCTTCAAGAAAACAGTCTGGAACCAAACCTTGAGAAATCAACACAACGTAAAGCTCCACATAATGAAAATGTAATGCCCGTGGAGGATCATCTTCTGGAAGAGCAGAGGTTCACCTCTTCCTGGCCCATGGATTCACCTGCAGGACTCAGCCTGTCATTCTGCACTCGGTCTGTCAGAAGTGATACGCAAAGGTTGAATGTCATGTTAGATGTTTGTCTTCCTCCTGGGTACGGTGAGACATCTGGGATTCATTATGGTCTTGTTGGACGGTAAATCCAGATCCTTCTTCATGTCATCCATCCATTACATGAAAAAGAAGAATAGAAAGAAAGGGCAGATGAGAAGAAAGTAGGTTGTAAAACATGAGAGACAGAGTCAACAGGAAATATCAGCTTGTGATACGTTCACAGTGTTGTTTCTGGGAGAAACACCTTTCTTTTCCTTCATCCATCTGTCTGTCTCTGCCTCTCTATTTTGATTATTTACGTCCTTTACTTCTGCAGTTCTATTTTGTCTTTCATCTTCACCCATTTCTTATATTCTTTGTTGCTTTTAGCCTGCCTCTCTTAATCTTTATCCTTTGTCTGCTCTCTTCCTGATCATTCCTTTCTCTTTTGCTCTTCCTCCATGTGTCTTCTTCTACGTAGTTTTCCCTTTTCATTTAGCTGTTACTTTCTCATCTCCATCCCTTTCATTTCTCCATTTCTTTGTGGTTGAAAGGAGTATGAGGTCTCTCAGCCCATAAATACCAATGACATGCTCTGTCAAAGCCATCAGAGACAAGAAAAATCATCACATACATCAGCCTACACTCCATCAGTATCCTCCTGTCTTAGTCCACCTGTTTTTTTTCTCTTTGTTCAAATTTTTTACATCTTCTGCCTATCTCTACCAATTCAATCCTATGCTATTGTGTTTGCACCACTACCTATGCAATATCTAATGACAATACATTTCAAAAAGACAAGAAAAACTGCCTCCATAATAGTAGATTCATGCATTGTGTTGCATGTTTCAGTTTTAATTCTTAGTAAAGCTTCTGTGGTTTAATGGACAAACTGTAAATCTACATAGTCTGAAAAGCTTCTCTGTATTTTCTCCCAGTTTGTTCAAATCAAATCCTGGCATCTGCACTCTGAAAGGATTTGTAGCTGTTGCTTTTTGCTAGTGTTGTAGTCAAGACCGCCCAAATCCAGGACCAAGGCTGTTGTCTCAATACCGAGTTCGCCAAGTTCGGACTTCTGTACTTTAAAGCTTGGACTTGGCAAGTTCAGCTCAGGAGTACAAACTCCCAGGAACGGGATCACGCAGTCAGTCATTCAGCAATTGGAACAGCTTGATGACGGCCGGACCAGTTAGCGGGCGGGACCTCACATCTCCGACACGTCATAGCAATTTTTTAAATCAGCTCTGTCTGGCTCTTTGGAGTTTAAACAACTACATTTCCTCATAAAAACTCTTAAAAGTACTATACTGTATTTCACACAAGAACAGCAGCATTATACATAACAGTTGTGAGTTTTCTTGTCTGACATTTCCGCTTTTTGGTGGCGAAATGACGAAGTGGCGATATCTGGCTATCCGAAGTCCACTCAAGTCACCACCGATGCAGGCTCAGTAAAACGGGCGGAGCGAGAACACATCTGGGTATTTGACTGTACCTGGCTAGATGTGGACTCTTGAACTGGTTCACAAGAATACAAGTACAGACAAGAACGCAGAATGAGAAACAAGCTCAAGTCCAGACCAAGACCAGAGTTTATCGAGACCGAGACAAGACCAAGTCGAGACCAAGACCGAGGGAGGGCGAGACCGAGTCAAGACCAAGACCACTTCCCCACAGTACATGACCCACAATAAAATGTACCAGATCATCTCGAGACCAAGACCGGTCTCGAGTATTACAATATTGCTTCTTGCTCTTGGTAGCCACATGCAGGTCGCAGCTAGCCATTTCCACAGTTCATGTCACACAACATTAAACACTACAAGGGCTGTATCACAGACACATATGAAGTCCCAAGTCACAGGAGTTTTCTACCAATGTCCAATCACACCTTAGCGACCACAACAAGGCACCGTCAAGCTTTGGATTTTGACCAGTAGAAAGGAGATATTATTTATCGGAAGAGTTTGGTTATTGGGATGTTTTTTTTTTTAGCCTTTTCAAGATCAAAAACATCATAATGATGAATGAATTAAACAGTGTGTATGTTTGTCTAACATAAACTGTAATTGTTAGTATGTCCATCTAAAAAGGTTACCACACTATTTACATAGTCTCAAACTCGTTTTGGTCCTGAGTCTTTAATAACTGGCATCAATACCGGCTGACACTGGCCGATTCAGATCGAATACTTACAGTACATTTATCTAATGATACAGCTGCCCAGAACACACTCAAGATACAATCTGAAAATGAGATTAAGATCATCCCAAAAATCATTTTGTGCTAAAGATGCTTAGAATATGTCCCTCCAGCAAGTTCTGGGTCTACCCTGGGGTCTCCTCTCAGTTGGGCTTGACCCGAAGATCTCCATCAGATGCCCAAACCACCTCAACTGGCTCCTTCCTTGTGAAGGAGCAGTGGCTCTACTCCGAGTCACTATCTCTAAGGAGAAAACTCATTTCAGCCACTTGTTCTTTCGGTCACTACCCACAGCTCGTGAACATGAGGTGAGGGTTGGAACGTAGATCAACTGGTAAATTGAAAGCTTTGCCTTCCGGCTCAGCTCAATCTTCACGACAACAGGCTGGTACAACACCTGCATTACTGCCGACGCTGCACCCATCCGCCTGCCCATCTCATGCTCCATTTTGCAGTCAACAAAATTCCAAGATACCTAAATTCCTTCTCTTGGGGCAGCAATCCACCGTTTTTCAGCAGAGAACCGTGAACGTCAGGTCATCTATACCACCATCCGCATCCGAACCGAGGGCATCCGCACCACTTCACACTCTGCTACAAACTGCCCCAGTGCGTGCTGAAGGTCATGTTCTGATGAAGCCAACAGAACCACGTCATCTGCAAAAAGGATGTTCAGAGATATGCTAACTTTAGCATTTCTGAGCCCAGTAATTTACTTATGGAAGCTTGTTCCGGCAACCCCAACCAAACACATCAGTTGGTCCTCATCCTCAAAAGTTTCTCTCTTGTACAAGTGAAATGTTAGAAAATATACTGTAACCACAGATCAAGTTGTTCATTTGTGATCTAACCTGAACTTATCATTTGAATCACTGAACTCAGTCTCCCACAATTAGCTGTATCAGGTTCTTTTTGTTGAAACACGTTCAACTTTTTATAAAATCGATGCGCTTGTCAATTTCACTTTTCGTCAACTGACCAATCACAGCCTCGATGGGGTGGGACATAAAAGATGTTTTGACCTGCTACAGTGAACTCCTCCTGCATGAATGGTTCTGATTATTGATGAGCTGGTAGCATTAACAAATTAAGAGACCAATGTAGGCCATTTTTCTTGCGCAAATATTTAATGAATGAATGTTTTGTGGACTGGAATGGAACTGGTAACTGGAATTAATATCAGACTGGTGGTGAGCTATATAGTATACTATTACATAAACTGACAATGCATATAGTAAAATTAAATAATTATCAAACACACTAACAGTATACTATTAGATTAAAATTTTACTTTTTATCTAACGTCATTATAATAATATAAAGACAAATACACTTATTTAAACTAGTTTCTCCTCCATCTTGTGTGAAAGAGCCTCTGCAGTGGAAAGATGCAAATTTCCACTGCACAGGATACCAGTGTGCCAGTATGTGCTCCTTCTAGCCTCCTGAGAGCAACACGTTCCCCTCGTTCTGTTTTACTAAAGGTACACTGTTCAGCAGTCTTGTTTACAATAGGTTTGGATTGCATGGGTGCTGCTGGTGTATTGTGAATCCGTCCCTGGGTCAAAAACTACACAAGCACCAATCACAGTAAAGTTTTTTGTGATGAGTGATCAGTGTTTTAAAAGCAATTTTTTCAATGTCAAATTTTCAAAAGATCTCTTTCAATATTTTAAAACGCTTTGACAATATTTTAATGTCGAGTGTACAGATACAAGGGTCTTCACTTTCAGTCCTCCAATGGTTTCACATCATGGTTGAACACAAAAGAGCGCACACGTAGTATAAATACATATGTGATAAATAAGTTTGTTAACCTTTGTGGTACTTGAACATTTTTCACTGAACATGTGCTCTTTGGGAAAAAGGTTAGCGTACAGCCCTGTCTCTTTTCTCTGGACTCAACCAGTGAAGCTGCCGATGGCTGAAGCCGTCTCCCAGCATGGCCTGCATTTATACTTGTGCGTCGTTATTGCGTCCACTTCTGGTTTAGCCCTACGCTAACTTGAATGGGTGTAAAATGATATATGTGCGGCTGTTATAGACTTTTAAATTGCTATCGACATAATGGATCCCATTCTGATAGTGAAACGACTCATTTCGCTTTGGTTGTGGCGCTAACAAATATATTGATCCACTGTGTTTAAGCCGCTGGATTGGTCGGAGCACTTCCTGTTGGCTCAGAGGCACTGCGAGGGTACCCAGCCGACAAATCACAGTTCTTACATTCCGCGTTCCCCCGACGTGTAGTTACATTTTTGAGGAGCTGCATGTCAGGCTACGGCGGAGGCTATCGCGTAGGGTACGCCGGGAATTTGACACAGAAGTTTAAATTGGGTTGGCAGTGGAACAGTGGATAACACACGCCTTTGGTGTGAAAGACAAGGGTTTGATTCTCACTACAACACATCCACCAATGTGTTCCTGAGCAAGACACTTAACCTCTCGTTGCTCCAGAGACGTGCGACCTCTCACATACAGTATATAGCAATTCTAAGTCGGCTAAATACTCAAGGATCTCAAGCGGTACATCTGCCAACGTTACATTTCAAACTCAGGCTTAACTGAAGTTCTTAGGTTCAAAAAAAAATGAAAGAATTAAATAAACATCCCTGTAACAAACTTCTTCTCAAAAGCAGCGAGTAAGTGCTCCATCCAAGCTGGACTCACCTCCATATCCCACACACACTATGAACCAGACATTTACTGACGTCAAGCTACAGGATTTCTCCGTAATGAAGTCCCTCACGCTGTCAAAAATGTACACACTTGTACACACCAGTTTCCACTTGGACTCACTAATGTGCAAAGTTGCTGCTTTAGATAAAGTTTCAGCCGTAGATAGTGCACCAAGACAGTGAACCCACACGCATATGCACACACATGAAATGGCGAGCCCTCTGATCTCTATTACAAAGCGGCCAAACAGTTTCAGCTGTTATATCTCTTCCCATTAAGCACATTCAATTATTCATGACTCGCTAACTGAGCACCATCCCTCTCTCTCCCTTTGTCTCTGTCAGGGTCTCTCTAGCTTTCTCCCTGTATGTGTAGGCTCTGAGCAGATTGTTGGTTCATGCCTGAATTGTACTGTAAATGAAGTCAAGCAGAAACATAGGCTACATAATGGTGTGTTGGTGTGTGCGTGTGTGTTTAGTAACCGAGCACACACACGCCGAGTTTTGTTAAAGTTTTTCTGTTTGTGGACATTTCACTGCCCAGCTGTCAGAGCAAAAGCTGTAAAAAGCCACCATACACGACCTGCTCAGCAGCAAACAGCGCACAGACACAGTTGGAGATTAGCTGGTGAACTTAGCAGCTAAACAGCCAAATATTTTCCTAAGAAGCTGGTGGAGACCAAACACAGAGCTAACAGAGAGAATATTGTAGTTACATAGAAAGATGACTCCAAATGTGAAAACTGATGTGTAACAACAACAACTTGAAAAGATGATCTCAATGTTGTGTTCACTACTTGTTTCCGCTGCCTTCAGGTGGCCAAAAAAACTCACTTATTGCAGGTTTAAAATGTTTTTGTCAAACTACTGTTCCCAAGGACACATGGGAAAATATAGATTATATTAGAATTTGAGAGACTTGACGCTTCAATATGTGCTCGTTCCATGAGATGAATGCCTTTACAGGAATTAGCCACTGTACAATATAATTACATTTTCAGGGTTTCAAATTTGAAACCGAGCTCTGAAATAAATCCTCACTCTTTGTACAGGACGTACTTTACATGCATACAAAATTTATCAATGTGTAGGAGGGTTGAACAGCTTTTTTTTCCATTTTCTGATTGATGTTATTTCAGTTTAATTTAACAGTAAAATTAATGTTTTAATTGGCAAATTTTACAGTCATGTTATCTGCCATCCACACACACACACACACACACACGGAGCAGTTCATACAGCCCACACATTTTCCACACACAAAAGCTCACAATGTCTACTTTCACTGCATGTACAAGCACGCACGCACACACACACACACACCACATGCAAATACATGCATGCATCACACACTAAACACTTAACATCGGCTGCACATACACTCACATAATAGTCGTCATGGCCTATATAGCCAACAGTTACACATACATGACACGCATATGAGCACACGCACACTGACACGATGCAGCAACCAGAAAAAAAGAGAGAAACGAATAAAAACCAGGCAGCAGTGTCTCACAGGTTTCAGCGGCTCCTGCAGAGGTGATGGAGGGATGAATGTGGGGGAGGAGGAAGAGGAGGAGGAGGAGGAGGGAGGATTATTGATCCTTGCTCATCCCTCTATCTCCTCCTCCGCTGCTGCTGTCACCATCATCTACCTCCGAAAAAAACCCCACACAAGTGCTGCTGCCGCTGCTGCTGCTCCGCGGTTCTTCTTCTTGATCAGATTATGATCAATTCAATCCCTCCTTCTTTCCTTCCTTCTCTCTTCCTTCATATATTCCACTACTTGTCTCACTGCTGCTGCAGGCCCAGTTCCTCTCCTCTTCTTCCTCTTTTTCTTCTTGTTGCCGAGTCAATCTCTTTCTAATTATCATTCCTCTGCGTCTGACAGCCGAGCGATCCGCTGCTGCAGCACTGATGATACCCCTGCCTCTCTATGTGCGTCTGAATGGACAGTGCTTTGGCTATTATCAATGGTAAGATATTAGTTTTTTTCTCCTCCGCTATTCTGCCGTAGAAAGGAGGAGGAGGAGGAAGGAGGGAGGATAGAGGAGGGAGGGGGTGTCGAATCCAGACAGGCTGCCGGGATAGATGGATGGATGTATGAAGGAGGTGGAAACATAAGAGTTGCGAAGGGAGAGGGAGAAAGGAGGGAGGAAAAGTGTGTGTCGGTAGCAGAGAGAAAAAAAACGTGCACCGTCACGCAGTGACAAATGTATAAATCACACCAGCAGCGAGCGCTGGTTTACCACACAATTAGGAACATCACTCACCTATGAGGATGTTAGAAGCTGCATGTAGGCCTATTGTTGTTAAACATTTTAGGAATATTACAGAGATATCATTACAACTGCAACAAGTCATGATGCTGTGTTTGAGTGCCGGATCATACTGATTAAATGTTGCAAACGTAAAGGATTTACAAATAGAATAAGTGCTACAGAAAAACATAAGAGATTACAGTATATTCTATGATGCTTGGAATTCCCGTAGTAACAAAATTATGTTGTATTACACTGAACTCCACTCACTACATCCAAGTCTACAATCATGACTTAAACACGGCAGGATTAACCTCTTACTGGGCACCTGGACACAAACAATTGCGGTTATGCCCCTGCTGTGGTAAATGTATTGGGGCTACAACAAATGCAAACAACGACACAGCACGTAACGTTGTGGGTTAGCATACCATCGTAACAGGTGCTGCTGCGAAGCTAACATGCAGAGAGGACGAGTGCGTGTGGGGTTTCACACACAGACTTGATATAACGTTACAAGATGCGGACACTGTGGATTTCTTACAAGCACTGAACACCAGCGCAGGTGTCATTCAGTACAACGTTGGTTTAAATCGTTTGATAGGCTATGTCATTAACAAGCCGGTGTTCTTATTCTTCCTTCTCAATAGGTAGCATAAATTGTCACTGGCTTGCGGCGCATCTGTTGCCATGAAAACTGATGAGGTTGGAAAGATCCAGAAAAAAAAAATCACAGTCCCGGCTCAATGCTGCGATTTCTGTCAGCCATCGCCGATGGACGATCGGCCCAGTCCTACTGTAAAATGTCCAGCTCAGTATGCTTCTTGGTCACCAGTCTTAATATATCATATTAAATCTTTGTGTAAAAATATTTTGTTATGGATTTTTTTAAACGCTCAAATAGTGATATCAGTACCCAGTGATGGGCAGGCTATAATTGTAGCACCAGCACTAACATGTTCATAAAGGGAGCATTTTGATTCCTGACATTTAACAACCAAAAACCAATTGACGCACAGTGAGTCTGGCGCTTGCGGGGCCCTAGGGGTATCTGGGGCCCATGTGCATTGGCCCACTTAGTAATCCAGCCCTGATCTTCTAGTAATAGAATATATTATTAACAAATCATAGGAAATGCAACCGATGTCTGAGAGGCTATACACAGTATATAGTGATTAAATCATAATATTTCTAGCTGGAAGCTGGCAACAATTAAATTAATTTTATTTATTTATTTTATTTTTATTTAACCGGGGGAAAAACCCACTGAGATTTAATCTCTTTTTCAAGAGCGCCTTGGCCAAGAGAAGGAGCAGGAGAGCAAGTCTAATAGTACAAATATAAAACAACTGTACATAATACTATTACTATTATAATACGATTAATTTTTAATCAATCAAATTTCCAAAGTTTCCAGTTTCCAGCCTCTCAATTGTGGTTATTTACTGATTTTCTTTGTTTTGTTTTTTTTAAATAAACTGAATGTGTCGGACAAAACAAAACAAGGTTCAGTGTGTAAGTTTTAGTGGCACCTAGTGGTGGGGGTTGCGAATTGCAACCAGCGGCTCAGTGCATTAACGTGCTCCTCGGATGTTCCCATTTCCCGAGTTGTGAAGTTGTTCTTTCGACTTCAGTGTGTGTTCATGTGCTCTTAAGTCGGAATATGGAATCAACATGGACGCTGCTACAAAGACGTGTTGGACTAGCAAAGCATATAAACAACACGCAGACATCTAGTTCACTCTACATGGACAGCAAACTAACCGTTATAACCAGATTACAAATTATGTTTGCAAAATATGTATATGCAATATGTGATTTTGCACGAATCAGAGGTCTGTATACTTTATGTCCCATGTTCACTTTATTTCTCTTTTTGCAATAAAGAATCTGATTATTTTCTTAGGAAAAAAAGATTCTTCTATATTGTTACAGAGCGTAAACACGCTCTGTAATGCTGTTTGTCCATTTGGGCTACTTTAAAAACATGGCGGCACAATATTGCGACGTCCATTTGAGAGGAGCTGCGGTGTATGTAGATAAAAAAGGCTCATTCTAAGGTAATAAAAACATAACGCTTCATTATGTAAGGTCTTTACACACCACTGAAAACATAGTTACGGATATTATATTGCATTTCTGTTGATCTTTAATATTACACACCGGAGCTTTAAAGATGTTTCCACAGGCTTCATTATTTTACAATTAACAGAACATTATCTGCAGTTTCAATAATGAGATAATCGTTCTCATATTTTTTTACCTTTAACCCATGACCAAGCAACCCGTTCTCCTTCCCTAGTCATCACACATGGATGCATGGTCAAGATCCCTTAGCGTCAGTTTATAATGCTTTGGGAATCCGTTTAGTGCCGTAGTTCACCAAACATAGGGAAGCCCTTTAGCATCGTAGTTGAATGCTAAAGGTTGGTGTAGTATACAGTAGGTGGTTGGGGTAAACAGGTGTGTCAGAAAGCGGAGGAGACTGATGTTCGGTTCCCGTGTGCTATTTTTGAAAATCAAAAACAAGCCATTGCACACCGAGATGACTGTGCGGTGGCCTTGTTTGTAGTTTTGTTGCGTAAGTTACATAACTCATGCAAGTAACATAACTTAACTTATGTAAGTAAGACTCTATGATAGTTTCCTAAATCTAACCCAGTAGTTTTGGTGCCTAAGGCTCCGTCCACACTACTGCGCTTTCGAATTAAAACGGAAACCTTTTGCTACGTTTGCACCTCCCGTCCAGACTACAACGGTGAAAATGAAGAACTGTTTTGCGTTTCAAAACTCCAGAAAGACGTTTTAGTGAAGACGGGCCAAAATGGAGGACTTTAGAAACGATGACGCAGCCGCTCACGCTCGGCTCTCTGATTGGGTCTTAGAAGTCATTCAAAGCAGAAACACGATGCTGCTGTTATTGACATGGTATTTTTATTAAAATATTATGTACCGTGCAAATAACACTTATCTGCCTACACTTGTACTGTGCATGTTGCCGTATTTACTTTGCAACGATTTTCCGCCGCTACACTCCCGTGTTACATTCAGTAACAGTCCCAGCTCCTTATTGGTGCATGTAAAAAAAAAATTATTCGTCTGTATTTATTTTTTCTTCTGTAACCAGCAAGAGACCATCTACGTCATGCTTACACTGGCACGCGCACACTCAGTGTACCTGAACGGCCAATAGATGTGCGTTTTCAGTCGTTTTAATGTAGACGGAGATCAACTCTGATACGCAGCTAAAATGCTGGTGTGGATGGATATTTGACCACACTGGACAGCAAGTGTTTGTAGTTGATTTGAACGTCCACATGCTGTCATACAGAGAGGTGGGGGATGTGATATTGTTTAAATACGGGGATAAATGCGCACATTTTCAGACATTTTCTCCTGGATGACATTCATATTGTTGGACTCCGTTACTCACATAACAAGTGACAGAAATAGTTGGTTCGAATGAAAAAGCGACCGGAGAGAAGCTCTGTGATGCTCTGTGTGAAATGACACCATATATGGCTTAGACAATAGGAGGCACCTAAAACGTGAACTGCCTGTGCAGTATTATAGTGACAACATTGGTTGTTGCAGCATTTTAGAGCAGAACTAACACAGGATAATGCCAGATAACGTTTTTCCAATGGGTTTAATTTGTTATGGGATGTTCATATTTATTCAGATATTATAGAAAAGCCAAGGCTAAAGGCTAAAGTAGATGAACATGGGAGGATATTGAGATAGGAAATCTAAGTCCAGGAGGCTGTATGTCGTTCTGTATGAAATTAAATCCTAGATCTACCATAAGATACATAAAGACACTTAAACCTTGCACAAACTGCAGTTATTCGATCATCCAAGGATGCACCAATCAAACTTATTTTCTCCTGCTATCAAGTCCTAAACCTGAACTCACGCTACCTGCATTTACCGAGCACTGAGCCAATAGGCTACATTTCTCTTTTTCCCCCCACATTTAAAAATCTGCATCTCACTGCCTAAAACTTTAAATCAATTTATTGTAAGTTAACATGAGGTCAGGGTTGCCCTAACACTACAAACTAAACCAATGCCTGCTGTGACTGAATGAATGTCGACGAGAGAGGAATCGCTGAGATTTATGATGATGTTGTCACAGAAACTGCATCTAATGTGGATCATTCTTGTCACGGCCAATACCCCATACAGTACCGACACTGATCAGGCGTCTGATCGGACCTAGATTTTCAACCACACTACAATATAACAGGATATTATAGACACACCTTTGCAACCGTTAGCTGTAAACTCCTGTTAATAGAGGCTTTAGTTTGCTAAAACATGTTACACTAACTCCTGCACGGACAGTGTCCTGGTCTCTAATAACAAATCCTTTTAGGTATATTGAATAATATCAGATAGGTAATAAAGTAAAAGTACAGAGGCAGCACATAAGCCAACAGTTGTGAACTCACATTATTAAAATGGTACTTCCCGATACAAGGACTGATGATTTGCAGCCCCAATAAGAACATCTATGAACACATGATACATGAATAAATAAGAAATCGTAGGCTATAGCTGATAAAATACACTATAAAAAGTCATTACAGTCTGAATAAAGGCCCAGACATTAAAGTATGTTTTATGGATCACAATTAGGCAATTCAAATGGTGGGAATAACAGACCACAGAGGCTGCACCAGGCCTACAGATTTCAAATCATATGCTATAGGAATTCTGTACAAGATCCATAAACCATTAATGGTCCCTTCTCCCACTGCTGATGATCACAGATGAAGC